TTTTATTATTCTCTCTCTGTTATTTATTTATTTTTTGTGGGTTTCATGCTGTCCGCTAAGGCATAGGACACACACAGGTTTTCCTCCTCACCAACGACATTAAACACCGTGTCTACACCGGACGCAAACGGCAAAATACAGTAGAAACCATTATAATCAGTGACGCTGTGTACACTGGATGCGAGAGACAAAACCCGACATTAAACTGATGCCTTGTTCTATTTATGACGTACTGACACAAAGTTAAAATGATTTGCAACGGTCACTTTGCCGCGTCCAGTGTAGAGGTGTTGCGGCGCGACGCGACAACTGTAGCATAGTGAAGCCGAGAGCAAGATATGCCTTGTCATATTTTCTGCATTTAGCTTTTAAATGACCAGCACCTGCCTCGGTCTGTGCGACTTCATCTATGGCTTTTCTCTTCCCTTTCACAAACCGATCCATCTCCCATTCTAAGTTACGTCCTTTGGCTGTTTACCGTTTTATTTCTTTTCTTTTTCTGCTGATGGCCCGCGCTCGACTTGAAGCAGCGCTGCTTAGATCGATGGGTGTGTGTCATCAAAGTACTGCGAGAGCTATAAGAGAGCGCGGACATCTCCTTATGCTTTCTCTCGCCTTACTTTGATGTCATACACCGATCTGATCTTCAAGTCGAACACACGTCTTTACTCTCGCGTGTCACGTGACCGTGTAATCGCAGCCTCTGCGATTGAAAAGCCGCGTTATTTCATATCGCGATATTATCGCAAATGCAATTAATCGTTCAGTCCTACCGTACACCACTGAGTGTCACCTTACAACAAAAAGGGCCATGGCTCAGGCCTTTCTGTATGGAGTTCTCCACGTGTTGGCATGGGTACTCTGGTTTTTCCCCCACAACTCAAAATCTCACAGCTCAGGTGAAATGAAAACACTAAAGCCTTGTTCAGACTGTCAGCCCAAATCCTATTATATGTTTATCCAATTGGAATCCGATTTAAATCATTGATTGTCCATACGGTGTATTGCAGCTGTTCAGATCCGATTTGTGTGTCGCTCTTTTGTTTTATGAAATATCAGCATTGTTGCGTTGGTATGCCTAGGCTAAAAAACAACAGCAGCAAAACAGTTTGCAATACAGATGTTAGGTGTGTCCCAAATCACATAATTATGCACTATTCTATGACGTTTTGTAACATAAATAGTGTGAGTAGTACGTTTTCACTGAAAATTGCACAAAGAAAAAGTGCACTTTAAATACCTGGATGATGCACTTAAATAACCGAAAAAACGAAGTGAGGAATGTTGGACACTTCATGCACTCAGCTGTCGCAGCTTTAATTAAGTACCGAAGGGGGAGAGGCTATCAGACTTCGATTATGAATGACAAAATAGCCTTATATAATTCATACACTACATGGTTGAGTACATAGTGCATAAGTACATAGTGTATGAGTGCATAGTCTGTACATAGTGTATGAGTGCATAGTCTATAGTGTGCCATTTGGGACGCAGCTAACTGTCTTACAACATGACAACAATGGCAGAAACCTAGAAAGC